GCGGGTGGGGAAGACGCAGTCGAACATGTCGCAGCCCAGGGCGACGCAGACCACCAGGTCCGTGGCGTAGCTGGGGGTTTTTGGGGGGGGAAAAGTGGGGCTGAGCATAAAGGGGAGCCCAAACCCCACATTTTTTCTTCCCCCCCCCAAGAACTCCCAGGATTTGGGGGGAATGTGGGGCTGAGCAGGAAGGGGAGCCCAAACCCCCTATTTTTTCGTCCCAGAACTCCCAGGATTTGAGGGGAAAATGGGGCTGAGCACGAAGGGGAGCCCAAACCCCACATTTTTTCTTCCCTCTGCCCCCCACAACTGCCAGGATTTGGGGGGAATGTGGGGCTGAGCATGAAGGGGAGCCCAAACCCCACATTTTTTCTTCCCTCTGCCCCCCACAACTGGGGCTGAGCACGAAGGGGAGCCCAAACCCCCTATTTTTTCTTCCCTCTGCCCCCCAGAACTCCCAGGATTTGGGGGGAATTTTTTCTTCCCCCCCCAAGAACTCCCAGGATTTGGGGGGAAAGTGGGGCTGAGCAGGAAGGGGAGCCCAAACCCCATATTTTTTCTTCCCCCCCCCACCAAGAACTCCCAGGATTTGGGGGGAAAGTGGGGCTGAGCACGAAGGGGAGCCCAAACCCCCTATTTTTTCTTCCCTCTGCCCCCCAGAACTCCCAGGATTTGGGGGGAATTTTTTCTTCCCCCCCCAAGAACTCCCAGGATTTGGGGGGAATGTGGGACTGAACATGAAGGGGAGCCCAAAACCTATATTTTTTCTTCCCTCTGACCCCCAGAACTCCCAAGATTTGGGGGGAATGTGGGGCTGAGCACGAAGGGGAGCCCAAATCCCACAGTGCGGAAATCTTTGGCGAATTGGTGGTTTTTCAACTGGAGGGAGCCCCAGGGGACCAGGGCTGAGCCGAAACGCTGTGGGAGGAGGGGGTCAAGAAGGGGGGGGGGTCCTCTTTATGTCCCCCCCCCTCCCCAAAAACACATCCCACAACCTCTTACCGCCGTGCGGGTGGGGAAGACGCAGTCGAACATGTCGCAGCCCAGGGCGACGCAGACCACCAGGTCCGTGGCGTAGCTGGGTTTTTTTGGGGGGGGAAAAGTGGGGCTGAGCATAAAGGGGAGCCCAAACCCCACATTTTTTCTTCCCCCCCCCAAGAACTCCCAGGATTTGGGGGGAATGTGGGACTGAACATGAAGGGGAGCCCAAAACCTATATTTTTTCTTCCCTCTGACCCCCAGAACTCCCAAGATTTGGGGGGAATGTGGGGCTGAGCACGAAGGGGAGCCCAAATCCCACGGTTTT